GCTAAGAAATTAGAGAAATGATAGAAATCATAGAAATTAGAGAAAGTTGAGATCCATGATCGATGGGATCATCATTCACTAATTGTAATTGGCGCAGTATTAATGTGTCATAACTAGACTATCACTAACAACTTCTTACTTCAATATCTGAGCTCCTGCGACGATACCAGCTTCTTGTACGAGTTGTTAATATTGTGATCGGCTTAATTTAGAGAGTATTCCAACCGATATATATTTGGTTCTTGGTATTTGTTCTATCCCAACCAATTCAAAAAGGTAGTAAACTCGTAATGCAGTTCGTTAGTAATATGTCGTAAGGAGATTCATACATTGAGTTCGTTCTGTAGGAGTAGTCGTTTTGGTCTCAATTACTTCTCCTAAGTACTAGAGAATTATCATTGTTTCTACTTGATTTCTTAAACTTTTAGCTCTTTTGCCTTAATAAAGAACTTATTTGTTGCGATGTTGTATCATTCTGTTGGTGGAAAGGTGGCATTATCATTGGATGGATAGGTTCAGTTTGATGAAGGTCTTCAAGAATTTTCGTGTAGGAACTCATAATGTTTTACAGAACAGGAATTCAATCGTCTCTACTTATATACTTTTTCAAAAGACTTCCATTTACAGGGGCTTTTAATAATCGTCTATCTAATTGCCTTATTTTATAAGCACCGTTTCCAATAATATCATATATGTAATACGGTCCCTTCCATTTTGGGTTTAATTTTTACGTATGGGTTTTATCTTTGGCAGTTTCAAAGTATAAAACTTTATCTCCAATGTGATACAAAATTAGCCTTTTTAATTTCTTATCATGGCGATCTTTCTGCTTTTGCTGTTCAATTTGTAATTGTTGTCGAACAGTATTACAGGTGATCAGCAGGTGATCTAATTGTTTTTCCACATGATTAAACAGAATAGGTTCCTTCTCCATTTTCGTACTATCCATTGGTAATTTAGCATCTCTCCCATATACAAGGAAAAAGGGTGATATTTTTGTTACAGAGTGTTCATTTGTGTGATAGGTAAATAATATTAGTGCAATATACTGATCCCAATTTCTTATATGATCGGTGGCTGTTTTTGCAAGAGCTTCTATTAAGGTTCTATTAAACCTTTCAACTAGTCCGTTTGTTTGTGGATGATAAGGAGTCGACATCCTATGTGGTATTTCAAATTTTTGTAACAGTTCGTTAAGTAATTAATTATTAAAATGTGTTCCTCAATCTGTAAGAATTTCTCCAGGGCATCTATGTCTGCAAATAATATCTTTGTATACAAATTTTACAGTTGATTTGGCATCAGCATTTCTTACAGGTTTTGCTTCTGGCCATTTTGTTAGATAATCCATTAAGACTATTATGTATTTGTTTCCTTTGCTTGATGGCGATAAAGGTCCTACATAATCAATTCTTATACGATCGAATTGTTTGTCCTATTGGAATCAGATGTAAAGGTTCGATTCTGGAGGCTCGTTCTCTTCTTTGATAACTATTACAGGATTGTGTATACATTCGAATATCCTCAAATATTTGTGGCCAATAAAATCGTTTTTTAAGTTTTTCTATCATCTTTTCCCTTGAAGTATGTGCTGCGGTGGGGTCATTATGTAACATATAAAGTGCAGGTCCCACTTCAAATCTTTTGAGTACTCTTATAAATTCGTTTACATTATTGCGATTCTTTTTATATAATAGGTCGTGTTGGACATGATCATATTTTGATTGTGTTTTTAAATTATTTTGTTGTGTTCTTTCCTCTTAATGTGATAGAAAGTGGTAACAAAAGCTAAAATTTGGTTATGCTTTACTCGAAACTAGAACTGAAATTAATAAAAGAAAATGAGAATTCCAAAAAATTAACGGTTTTACCTTTCGATTTCTTTATTGAAATTTCCACCTTATTTATTTTCTGGTCGTCCGCCAGTGTCATTTCGATTTTATCCTCGTTATTACTCATCTTTTAATAAAAATTATTGGTAAAAAATGAAATGATTTGATTAATTGTTTTTCGAGTTATGACGAAACATTCGAACCCTTCGAAATCGTCTAAATACAGTTTTTTTTTATTTGTTGCGTATAATAATCAATTTCGGTAGAAAATTAAGTTAACTTACCAAACTTACATAATTTTTTTTTTATTTTTTTTTTTTAATCCATAAATTCCAATAACAAATATATTTTTCGACAAAAAAATGCGCCAGTCCTTTAAATATTTTTTTTTTTTAAGAATCAATCCTTTTTCACTTATTTATCAGATATTTTTTTGCAAACTGACCTCTTTCTGATGGATAAATGACGATGATATTTACGAAAGGACATTTTTCCGACCACCATTTTACCAAAACAAGTTATTTTGTATAAAGAAATATCTCAAATAAGGCGGGACGATTACCTAAACCTAAGCCTTAAGTTATAGAAAATCCGTATCGGCATTAATATTTCACATTTTATCCATGTGACCCAATGATCTATTTTGCTCTTTCCGAATTAGAAGTGTCAAATTATTTTGTGAAATGATATTTAGCTTTAAAATGTTCCTTTTTTTTATGTAGAAAATGAATTGAACTTCGATCATTACTGCATATTGCGCCAAACACAATTTTGATGATTTCTCCTCGAAACGGTATATATTTAACCATCAACTTATGTCCAATTCCGTCATGAGAAATACACAATATATATAAAAATACCAAAAAAAACTTTATTAATTTACAAATTGAAAATTAACTAAAAAAAATAAGTATATTAATGCGTATTTCTACGAAATTATAATAAGTTCCTAATCTGAATTATCTGAAATTCTTTCCCGTTTTACTTATTACGTCTGGTGCTATTTTTACCACTTTCCTGATAGCTAATTGTATTGAACTAACTAAATTCCAATGGAAAGTAACGAATGAAATCGGTCCTCGTCCGCTGCGTCGTGTTTAGGAAGTTAAATATTTAAAACATTTCCTTCTTATATATCACCCTCCATCCCCTGCTTCACACACATTTTAAATGCGTATAATTAAACAAGATATCCATTCTTAAGCAAAATTATTTTATATATACCTTTAAATGGCGCAGTAAAATTTTTATGCAGATCGCGTGCCGATTTATTACATGGGGTACAAAGTATGAAAAAAATTTTTTTCCGGAAAAGAAAAATTTGGAGGGTTATCTTGCAGAAAAGGTCTATGAGTTTAATTTATTCTAAATATGCAATTGATATCACTTTCCATTGTATTGATATTATTGAACAATTGATTTGAATGGCGCAGTACAAAGAAAATACATATCTGTTTCAATTAATTGGACTTTTAATCGTCTAATTCCAATCAAGTGATTTTATTTAATTTTTCTGAATGGTTTAGTTTACGTATTTGTGTAAATATTGACATTTTATTTAGGATGATAAATTCAGCTTAAGCTATAAACGTATTTAATTAAATTAGACTATATACTTTTTGAAGCATAAGCAAATTAATAAATTAATTATAAATATCAATAAATATCAATATATATATGTATATATATTAATAAACTTATATAAATATCTTTTTAATTTTACAGTATTCTACAACCAACATCTAATTTTATTGATTTTTCTAATTTAAATTTTTAAAAATGGCTAAATGATGACGTAGATCAAAGAACTAAAGAAACATGAAATGTAAGAGAGACAGCTCGAAGAATCAATAGCCAATTTGATGATGAAAAGAAAGGCAAGGCAAGAAAAAGAAGTTTCAACAGAAGCACCAGTCCGCTTTTATGATTCAAAAATTCAGATCTGCTTCAATTGAAATTCAACCCGATTCTTAAAATGTTTAAGATGATTATGTTATGATTGAAGGTCAAGATACATTACATTCAATGATAGAAGTATCGAAAAGAAAGTATGGAAGATATAATCGATTTCTTACAATTACTCCGTGTAAAACAGCAAGCCTATTTATCTGATGATGATGAAATGTTTAATGATGAACTGAATTCAGTTGATGATGATGACAAGATTATGATGATGAGATATTCGCAGGTCTAAATATATTGATTACGACTCAAATCAGTATAATATAGACACAAACAATTTATGGATTCCAAGAATGGATTAAACTTTCTGATATTGATTCACATCAGTTTAAAGACATACTTTCTACTGATTATATGGCTAAAAAGTTATTAAACATCGATAAAAATCAATACTTCCGCAGTATGCCTAATTGTAATAAGTTATACGATGCTACATCAATAATTCCAACCAATCCAAATGATAATGAAAATTAAGGATTTAAATGTACTTATATTGAATTTCCATGAGTCAGAATTACTTACAAAGATCACGATAAATAATAGGTAATATACATATCTTAGAACCTTTGAAGATTCAATTATCCGCAATGTATCAAAGACTAAATTTTGAACTTTATTTTTTTTAAAAAAAATGTATTAACCGAGTGTAACTTACACTATGTCATGGCAAGATATAGAATCAAGTGCGGATACATCAACCCATCAGCTGATTCTAGCCGTTCGAATCATTTTTAATATAAATAAATATAGAAATGTAATCGAAAAATTTTTTAAATAAAAATAATTTATTTAAGAAAGAGTGCGAAGATATATTTAGTTCATATGTTATAGTTCATTATCAATCTTTTTCTTTCTTTTATCTTATTGAAGAATTTGCTATTTAACCTAGCTTGTGTTCCTTTCACAAGGAAGGTTCGAATCATATAACTTAAAAAGGATATATCATATATTATAAATCTAACTTTTAAGAATATAAGAAACTTTCTTGCTTCACAATTTCATTTTACGTTTCAACAAATTTAATTTTGGTTTCCTGAAATATAATTGAATAATAAGGTCTATAGCCATTTTTTCAAACTATTATTATTTTATTTATTAATAAAAATACTAATAACTTATATTATTGATAAAATTATTTTATAAAATATAAATATAAAAATTACAAAATAGATAAACTATTCAAATATTATTGAAATAAATTTTATTAAAATTTAATTTATTTGGTTTTTAAAATGAATTAAAGACTAGAACGAAAATAAAAAGAACGTGATTAATCAAGAAAATTTTAATAGGTAAACCAAATAAAAACCTTTGAATATTTAAGAAAAGGACATTAAAGTATTAGTGCTGCAAAGTTTAATGAATACTTAAAATGTATAAATAATACTATTTAACTTTAGTATGAGAGTTATTAGAATAGTTATTAAAGTATTGATTCTTTAAAGATTCAGGTTTGATATTCGTTAAGGAATCGGGTACATTTGGTAAGCTAGTTATTGGAGTATTAAAGCAATTGAGTTCTTTTAAGGAATCAGGTAATGTTGGTAGGATAGTTATTGGAGTATTAAAGCAATAGAGTTCCGTTAAGGAGTTGGGTAATGTTGGTAGGAGAGTTATTTTAGTATAAGAGCATTTAAGATAAGTTAATGAGTTGGGTAATGTTGGTAGGATAGTTATTGGAATATTAGAGCAGTCAAGTTCCATTAAGGAGTTGGGTAATGTTGGTAGAATAGTTATTTGAGTATTATAACACCAGAGTTTTATTAAGGAGTTGGGTAATGTTGGTAGGAGAGTTATTTTAGTATAAGAGCATTTAAGATAAGTTAATGAGTTGGGTAATGTTGGTAGGATAGTTATTGGAGTATCATTACAAACAAGTGTTTTTAAGGAGTTGGGTAATGTTGGTATGACAGTTATTTGAGTAGAACAGCATTCAAGAAAAGTTAAGGAATTGGGTAATGTTGGTAGGATAGTTATTTGAGTATTATTACAAACAAGTGTTTTTAAGGAGTTGGGTAATGATGGTAGGGCAGTTATCCGAGTATCATAACACCAGAGATCAGTCAAGGAGTTGGGTAATGTTGGTAAGACAATTATTTGAGTATTATTACAATAAAGATAAGCTAAGGAGTTGGGTAATGTTGGTAGAATAGTTATTGGAGTAGAATAACAATGGAGTGTCATTAAGGAATTGGGTAATGTTGGTAGGATAGTTATTTTAGTATAAGAGCAATAAAGTTCCGTTAAGTAGTTGGGTAATGTTGGTAGAATAGTTATTGGATTATTAGCGCAATAAAGTCTTTTTAAGGAGTTGGGTAATGTTGGTAGGGTAGTTATTTTACTAAAATTGGAGCAATCAAGTTCAGTTAATTTTCGATATCTTTGTAATCCTCCTAAGGCGTTTAATATGTCATCCTTATTAGATCTTGTAATCCTTAAACTTTCAGTTATATCATCATAAATAATATCATTATCTAATTCAACTTTCTTTTGATAATTCATCTGATCAAATCGAATAATTTGAGAATCTTCTCCTAATGAATTATTTACATTAGAAACAGCTTCGAAGTTATTTGATTCGTAATTATGCATTTGATTGTTTTCTGTTATGTTCATCTTCGATACAATTGCATTTAATTTATCAACTACTTGATTCATTGATGGACGATTATCTGGCTCATTATCCCAACACCCTGAAATTAAAGAAAATATTTAATAATCATTATATACTTATAAATAACTTTATAATCATATATTTACCAGTGTAGATTTTCACATAATCTTCAGGTGTGCCGGGAATGATCCTTTCTCTAAGTCCTCCCAAAATTTCGATAGCTAAACTTATGTCGTATTCTTCATCCTTAATATAAAAAGGAAGTCGACCGCTTGATATCTCCCACATGAGTACACCAACACTGTAAACGTCGCTCTTTTCGTTGAGTTTAAATTGTGGT